GTGGTGCAGAAGGAACGGGCTGTGCAGTAACTGGTTCACATTCACTCAGGCAGACTCATAGCTCTGTTCATCTGATTGGTCCTGAGTGGAGACAGAAATGGCACCCAATGGACACTGGGAGAGATTGGTTATAAAATTACAAGCATTTGTTCTGCTGTCAATATTTTCTGCTGGTTTTGCTCAAAGCTTTTTTTTTTTTTTCTGCATCTCCTTTTCCAGAGGGGAGAAAGAAAGTTGAAGCAAGTGCAGCTCTTCGAAGATTCTTTGTTATGTAGTTTTATATAAAGCCTTCAGTTTATTTGATCAATTGTAAAGAATGGAAGATGGCATTTAAGTTGCAGGTTATTTTCTGTTTGATTGTAGTCTTCCTTGTTTTGTTTAATGTCCTTAACCAGGGGCATACCTGATAACAATCTGAGATAGAAAAGAGGGAGGCATTTTATTGTCAAAAATTTAGCCAGAATATATACCATTGACACAGCCCCAGTTATTACTCAAACATTTCATAGGAATGACAGACCATCCATGGTTCATATGCCATAAAAGAATTTCCATGCAATTACATGTAATTTCATTTCATGTTTTTAAGCTTTCTAAATCAACATTTTATTAAAATAATGCCCGTTGAGCCTGCCTTAAATGGGTTTGTTTAGGCACTTTGTTATGCAGTTACAACACTTGATCCCTGTCACCCTGCCACATGTGCTTTTAGTTAAACAATAGGTGACCACGTTGATGCTCCCTGTGCAGGCAGGGTCTGTTGGTTTTTCTGAAAGAAAAACACATGGCTATTGTTTAATACATACTGCTTTAGCAAACTAAATACCATCTAATAAGAGTATAAATCTGCTTTAAAATTGCTGGATTTCCCACTACTTGTGGCCTCTCAAAAATTACGGAATAAAGACTAAATTGTGACCATATTCTTAACAGACTTCACATATACTTCTGGATGTTTACAGCTCTAATAAGCCCCAGTCTCGCCAACCTCCTTAAAGACATTCATGGTGCTTTGAAAGGTGTCTGACATTTTTTACATTCATTTTTTTCTGAAGTGATTTACCAAATGCCATTCCAGTCTCGTAAGTCATCAGACTGTTTTAGATGCCAGGCCCCATATTGGTTGCAAGGTCGGATAAGACGATAGTTACAGCCTTGCTATTCACTAAATGACTGGGCATAGTTTCTGACACTTCTGTGTTGTGTATTATGGTATGGGATTCCAAGCATCCAACACCAAACCTGACAGCTACTCTAACTGAAGTGTATCTAAAGATAGCTTTTATGGAAGGAATAGTGTAGAGATGGGTTGGACCTTTGTGTGCACCTGTTAGGGAGATGCAGCCTCATTTTCTATCCATTTTTACTGGGACTAACAAATAGGGAAATCTAACTTATTTAGTTGTCACTAAATTTGTCAAGAGTACATACAGTTGTGACCAAATTATTCAACCCCCAATGCTGTAAAGGGGTTTAGGGACTATAGTGTACATTTGGAATTGTATTCAGAACAAATCCTACAAGGACGTTGTAACTACCCAAATGCAACTAAAATGACATCAATTGTTTATGTAATTGTAGTAAACTTATGTGGTTTCTTCATTTGCCACAATGCTCTATTCAACCCCTTAAAGTACCACTCTGAAGAACAGAGGTTCATACCTTTCCATCTTGAAAAGACTGTGGATTCATGAGCAGCAATCAAGCTTTGAGCTTTAAAAGGTGATACTGCTCCTTCTAGACATTTCTTGTTACAAACATGGTCATGGTTTTTTTCTTGAAGGGCAATGGCTATAAGAAGATTGATGTTTACCAAAAATGCATCATTCGCAAATTCAAGGCAAAGGGCCACGCTACCTCGTAAGACTTCATGCGCTACCTGAAGCGTAAGTGTCCCCGATTTGTTTGAGAAAAGATTTGTCAGATGTGGGTACAGAAGTTTCAGCCCAGACATAAGACGCACACTGCGTAATGAAGGCCTCCGTGCCAGAACTCCCAGGCGTACCCCCTTGCTGTCTCCAATAAGACGAGAATACAGCCTTGAAGAGTTCTTCACTGCCAAAAATGTGACAAACCACTGTGGGGATAGTGTTCTGATGAAACAAAATTCTGTTTGCCCATGGATCAACGCTATGTTTGGAGGAGGAAGAACAAGGCCTATGGAAAAGATTCCAAGCATGGTGGAGGGTCCAACATGCTTTGGGGCTGTTTTGCTTCTGCAGGTACAGGGAAAGCTGACAGCATGAATTCTCTAACAGGAGATATTGGATGAACGTGATAGTCCTCACAACCTGAGGCTTGGGAGACGTTTTTCAACAGGACAATGGATCCCAAGCATACCTCCAAGTCCACTAGAGCATGGTTGCAGAGGAAAGGCTGGAACATTTTGGAGTGGCCATCGCAGTCACCAGACTTAAATCCGATTGAGAACCTGGTGGGACTTAAAGAAAGCACCTAAGAATGTGAGGGAACTGGAGGCCTTTGCCCATGAAGAATGGGCGAAGATACCCGTAGATCGCTGCAAGACAGTCAAGCATGCTTCACGTTTAAAAGCTGTTATAACTGTAAAAGGATGCTGTACTAAGTACTAAGATTGAATGTCATAATGCTGTGAGCACAGACATTTGTGGTTATTTCATTATAACTGGTCTGACCACAATAATGGGAAATCTAACAATATTTAGTTGATCAAAAGCAATAGAACAGGAAATTTGAATAATTTTGGTCACAACTGTACATCATCTGGTGACAACTGTCTTAGGAATTTCTTCACTTTGGAGTGTTTTACTCACACTCTTGTTGTGGTTACAGAACAGGAAGTGAAGACAAATCTTTAAAAAAAAAATTTAAAAAAAAGCTTGAAATGCGCTAACTCTAAATTAATTCTAAGGCTGACCATAAGCTGAGTGAATTTCGACCTGTTCCTGATGGAACTGGCAGAAGTCCGTTCAGTGGCTAGCTCTATTGGTTCCCTCCTGTCCAACATCCCGAGTCTAGTGGAAAATTGTTAAAGGAACAGTGCCTGCATCGAATCAGATGCAGTTACTGTTTGGGTATTTTGGAGTCTATTTTTATTGAGTTTGAAGTATAGAGAGAGTTATAGGCTCCAATAAGCCAACCTATGCAAGGGAGGTCACTGGTGACTCCTGATGCACAATACAATTAACAATAACAAACCTAATGTGATGGCTCATGCACTAGCCCACAATGCCAGGAGTGTGTGGTGGAACATCTCTACTAGAGACACCTGAGAGGGAAGCCTCCAGAGAGGTCAGGCAGGCATATATCAAGGGCCTAGGTCAACAGCAATGGATAGATCCTCCCAATGGTTTTACCCAATCATTGTGAATTTTATTCTTCATGCCTCCATTTTCATATGTATCCCGGTTTTAGAGGAAGATTCAAATTCATTGGCCTTTTCCAAAAAAAGAAAGAGGAGGAGGAGTTGCTTTCTTCTAGTGCATGGTGATTAGATTTTCTTGCATAGAAAAGTAACAGTACCAAGAACATTCTTTCAGCCACAATGGGGGCCATGTCCTCCAATAGGCACAATTTAGACTCCAGGATAACATGGGCCTCAGCTACTGAATTGGTTATGTCAACTACCCCCAAAACCAAAAGATAAATGGACGGGTCCAAAAAATTTTAAAAAAATCACCATCTGAATGACTACATGTCTCAGGAGAGGGACAGAATTTAACCTAGGTAGCCTGTGAGGGGTGAGGAATGCTCTATGGAGGATTTTGAACTGTATCAACTGATCAGAGACCAACTGTCTAAAGGGAATGTCCCAGATATCTCACCAGTCCTAGTCATCCATATCGGGTATTCCCCTCTGCCATTTTCCCCGGAGGCCTGAAAGGTCAGAGACGCTATTAAAGAAGACTTTATGATTTAGGGATGAAGCCAGTTTCAAAAGCTGGTATGTACATTTCCAGTGCAATCCAGAAAATTTTCCAGTGGGGAGCACCGTAAAGATCTATCCTGATGAGGAAATGGCTGTGGAAGGCGTGTGAAAGATGCATATTTCCAAACCTGTAGAAAGCTCTTAAGGTCTTAATTTTGAATTTGGCCCAGCAGTGAGGGTAGGGGATCATGAGGAGGTGAGGCAAAGAATGGTTATTCCACAGTGGGGTGTAGGGGGAGAAAACAGACTCCTGTGCTTCCCCTTGGAGCGTCACCAACCAGGCTTTGATAGCAGTCTACAGGAGGGGAGTAAGCAGAAATGAGGCTTTGGCACCATGGAAAAGGAAATGTTGGAGTGCCCCTAGGGAACTGAGGGCAGCTGCCTCAAACATATTGAAAGAATTAATCAAATTTGGCACCAGTCACCAGTGGACAGTGACTAGCTGAGTAGCTATAAAGTACTTATAAAAATCCTGTATGGGCAGTTTTAGACATGTATTTTGCTTCCTGCTTCAGGCCTGGTTCACACTAGTGCAGGCTGTGTGGGCCACATTTGCGTGGGCAAGGCAGCTCATTCATTTGAATTGGCTGCTGTGGCCACGTTTCACGCAGGGAAAATGTTCATGGTCCTGTTCCAAAATGCATCTGGTTTCCGTGCAGTTCCTGCACCTGTGATTGCACTGTGGGATGAGATGCATGGGGGTGACATTCAAAAAGAATGGCATCCCTGTGCATGTCGCAAGAGAAACATGATGCTGCTGTGGGTGGGTGCAGGAATTGCATCGATACCCTCAACCAGCCTACAATGTGTGGGCTAGTGTGCACCAGGCGTGAGGACACCCTGTAAGCAACAAAGACATAGGGCTGAGATCCCTGACCCAAGTACAATCTACCGATGTTCAGCCTAGTTTAATTTCCTTTTATCCATGTCTAATCACCACCAAATGTCCTTATTTGGTATTCTTTGGCAAAAAGTCATATTGAAAATTAAATTTTTTCCCTTTTTACAGTGTTTTACAGTGGAGAAGCTGGGCAGACGGCCTCTTATAATTGGTGGATTTAGTTTCATGGGATTTTGTTGTGCTGGTATAACTATGGCTCTAGTATTTCAGGTAGGTTGCTAAAAAGTAACAACATAACCATTTATAGCTATATAAAAAAAAATCATCCTTCCTGCATTGTTGGTGTGAATACCAACAAAAGGCAATCGAGCATACAGGCAAAATCCAACAATCCTCAGGCCTCAGTATTGTGGTGGCTTCGTACATCTGCAACAGCCTGAGTTGCATGCTTAGGCTATGGAGAAGGAAGTAGAAAATTCAGTACTAGCTGGGCCTGGTATGAATTTCGTTCCCTCCTAGACCTACTGTTTTTTTTTTTACTACCCCCTTCTACCTCCACCAACTTGGAGTAGGTGAATACTGGCTATGTTATCACACAAACATAGCAGAATGTCATAGCTGCATGAGGCACACTAAGGCTGAGGGTGGATGGGCTGTAAAAGAGATTGCCCATTCTGCATCAGTACATCTACAACTAATGAAATGATAAGTAGAGCCCACTGTCATCCAACCCTACTAACAGCAGTTTGGATGTAGGTATATAGACAAAGAATGATTGGACATGCACAGTCCACTATTCCAATGTTTCTCCACTGCAGAACTCTCACCAGGACATATTTTATTTTAATTCATCTTCCACAAGTGATTGAGTCCATAGCCCCGGCTCAAGGATTACTCCAGATGGCTCATCTGATAGGAGCCTGACAAAATTACCTGTTGTGGACCGAAATTGAGACCCTGAACTGTTCCACCAGTGAAAATCCTCACTGTGCAATAATTAGAAGCCAGCTTTATTTAACTCAAAGCACAAATATAGGCAACACTCCAAGCCAACCTCAAAAATGTCATTACGGTAACCATCTTTAGGGTGAAGATGAAGGTGAAAAACATGTTCCATGAAACAATTTTATCTTTACATTTGAGATAGTAACCTCAAAACATTTTTGAAATTTGGATTTTTTTTTTTCTTTGAACTATATGGTATCACCATTAGCTGTGGACTCCCATACAGTGGCATTTTTGATTTGGTGTTGAATAGATTATTTCACAGCCTTTAACTGACATGCAGGGCCACAGTCTAGAACCTTTTTCAACACGGGAAAGTTTACTGAAATTTGGCACCGTGATGTGTAGGTGATCACATGCTGCCTCTGGGCCATGTTAACGATGCAGAAATCCAGCACTGACTATGGGATAACTCCAGTAATGGTTTATTATGGTGGAAACTAGAATTTTAACATTTCCATAATTCAAACCTGATTGTAAGTTTGTTGCCTGGTCTGACTGACCAGTGTCGTGTTGTAAATATGGGTTCCTTACTTGTTCTCATAGCTATAAGAGCAAGTTTTAAATAACTACTTTGCTTACTTTAGATTGTGTGATTTCTAAACTGTCAACAGGCCTCTCCAGCCTTACATATTTTGTGGTTCTTTTAAAAAATGCAGGGAAATCTAACCACCTAGTTCAGTGATTAATTTACCTACCGAGGAAATCCATATAATATCTGAGGGTGAAGCCTGAGGAAAGGTCGGAGAAACTATTTAAAAAAAATTCCTTATTAACATCCCGCAGGAGCTTAGATTTCTATACTTTTTATAAGAACTGATTTTGCCAAAATAATCCTCAAATCTAACCCTGCAATGGTTGCAGAATGACAGTCTGACTGAGAAATACAGCTATATCTTAATTTAGTACTCAGGTAATGATCCTCTGGACGATAAAAGGTGATATGTTTATTTTCACTTTCAGGCAAGAATTGCTTGGATGCGGTATGTTAGTGTGGTTTGTGTCATTGGAATTATAGCCGGTTTCTGCATAGGTCCAGGTAAGTGCTTGTTTCTATGGGTATATTTACAAAGCTAATTTTGCTTTATAAGATAATAAACTAAGGGTGGAAACATTATAAATGGACCACTGGTCAGTCATCTGGATCTAATGGTAATCTCACTTTTAAGGCCACTGCAGCTCATAGGGCAATAATTCAAAAGCCCCTGAAATAATTTTACAAGCTTGATAATAATGTCAGGGGGTAAAAAAGCTGTTTTCTTAGTACCAGAATACTCTAAAACAGTGGAAAAGAATAAAAAAAAAATACAGAGACATGCTTTAAAGTGGGAGAGGTTGTTTTTGAGAGGATATTTGGGTAATGTCAGAAGCCCTTATCTGTATACTTTTTTATATTACATAACACTATAGCATAACACTCAAGCAGCAGAAAGTGTCAATTGTAGCCTCAAGGACTTTTTGGGAGAAAATTTGCTTTAAGATGTTATAGAATGTTTAGGTATTTTAATGGAGAGTTGTTTGGATTTAAAACCCCACTCATAATTTTTCTGGTTATGCTTTCTCAAGTTATATTTTCTTATATATCTTTTAATATGCTATTTACATAACAATACATGTTTGCACAAACCCACCTAGAGCATGATGTTTCAAGGCAGCATAACTAAGAAAGAGTTAAAGCTGTATTTAGATGCTTTGCAGAGTCTATCTTAAAATGATGGATGAAGACTGGGGTGGTTTATCCCATTGATATATTAACTGTGCCTCCAACAAATCTATAATTCATTTTCAGCTAAGAATTTATTCAGTGTAATTACATCTTTAATTAGGATTTTTATGGCTCATTGTTCATAAACAATGATGAATATGACTTTAAAGCATCTAGGATTAGGAAAAAAAAACTGCATCAACACCATTCCACAGTCTCCATGTTCTGCATGAATTTTTCTGCATTAAGAGTCCTATATGTGGCATGATGTCGAAATAATGAACTGGTATCTAAACTTGCTTTGGAAACACATTAAGCTAATTACGGCAACAATGGGCTGCCAGTGGAAGATGTTCTATTAACGTTGGTCTATAATCAGTTGGTGCTCTAGGATTTGATTAAAATGCTAAGATTTGCCATTCCCGCTGAAGTACTAACCGCACAGAATGGACATTTTTATTGTTTGACTTCTCACAAGCAATATTGTCAAATCAGCCTGTGAATTATTAAAGATAATTTTCACTCTAAAGTGCCAATACAAAAAAAAAAAGATATTTCAGTTTTGAGTTAATACTGGTGTCTTGAGTTACTATCTGTGTATACACCTTGAAGTTGCCCATGTTAAATTACCCCTGCCATAGTTGCAGTTGCTGGCTTTGCTCTTGGCCATCTTAAAAGCCTACACTTTTTCAGTTTCCAATAACTTAGATTAAAAAGGTAACAGGAAGAGTGGGAACCCTTTGTAAGAGTTGCTATGGATGAGGAAGTCTGTCATCTCCATTATATAAATCTAGCTTCTCAAGTAATATGCAAAACTGTTGGTTTAAAACTGTACTCCAAGCTCAAAAATCTTAATGTGAATATATTCCTCAATAGTCACAGAAGATATAAATCCACTTTATGTGCACCAAATATCTTTATAAACCCAGCCATTACCATATAAAAACAACAGTGATGGAATAGAATAACTGTGTTGCACATAACTGTATTGCGGGCAGAGCCGTGGCAGTGACCGAGTACAACCACCGATAACAGACAAACTACTGGTTTCATAGGTCGGTCCTGCTTTCTGCTTTGCATTCTTACAATGACTTTGCATGACTAAGGCAAATCTGATTTGGCCAACAATATTGTCATGGATGGTTGAAAAAGGGCCAATGTGTATGCAAAAACTCGCTCTACTCTTCAATACTTCAAGCCTAAACATTTTTTACCTTAATGCATTCCCTCTCTTGATCCAGCACTGCGTCCATCTTTAATGGCTCTGTCTTCTCTCTCTGCTCTCATAGGTTTTTCTGAGACAGCAGGAGCCATTGGCTGCCAGTCAAATCCTGTGGCGGGGGCAGGGCCAAGCTGTACTGCCTGTGTCTATGGACGCAGGCAATGCGGCTTGAGATTGAGTCTGCATGAGTGCCTGTATAGCAAGCAGCACTTGGAAGGGAGTAGGAGCACCAGGATTGAACCCAAGAAGTTGCACAGAGAAGGTAAGTATAACATGTTTGTTATTTAAAAAAAAAAGCCTTTACAGTCACTCTAAGGCTAGGTTCATACCTATGCAGTTTGCGTTTGATTCGTTTCTGCAGTGCATTTTTGTGGTGCGTTTTTGCACATGTGTTTTTGCTGCATTTTTTTTTTTTTTTTTTTTTACTTGTTGCGGGGCAGATTAAAATGCAAAACACGTCAAAAATGCACTACATGCTTTTATGCAGCATCTCCATTGAAGTCTACACAACCAAAAGTGCAATGTTTGGCATTAAAAAAGTCCCAGACCCTTTCCAAAAACCGCACCGGGTGAAAACGCGGAGATGTGAACCTGTCCCATAGGAAATTATGTTAAATGGACTGCTGTGTGTTTCTGGAAAACACATAGGTGTGAACCTAGACTAAGAATGTGAAAGGTATACCAAAAATTACTTTTAGCATGCCCATCCTTTTTCGCCTAGCTCCTCCATTCATAATTCTTAAAAGCTGTAGTATAGCTTCTATAAAAAAAAAAACGGATATATGAAGGGAGGGAGCAGACCTCTCAATCATTGCTCATCCTCAATTCATAGATTAGATTTCATTCATAGATGCTATAGTTATGGCTTCTATGAATGGAGTAGCTGAGCGGAAAGGGATTGCATGGTCGGGCACTCTTGATGAATGCCTATCACTGTTCCCTCAGTTCTATTAACCCCTAGAAGATTACGGCAGCAGGGGTGGAGGTGCATTGGACTAGAAAGTTTTCACCTAAATGAGGAGACAGCAGCACAGGCAACACATTACACTAATGGTAAGTAATTTTCCTTGTTCTTATTTTTTAATTATTTCTTTTTAACCTCATCCACCCATAGGATATCATATGACGTACGTGGGTTGATGTGGCTATATTGAGATAATGCTTGGGGAGCCCAGTCACAATGCGAATGGTTCGGTCTTATTGCCAAGGAAAGAGAGAAAGGAATGGAAGTTCCTACACCTGTTCTGTGACATTAGAAAATGGAAGCATTGAGCGTTTCATCACTTACTGTTTTGATTAATTGTTGACAATTTGGTACTGGTTTGTGAAAGCATCTGATCTTGGTTTAATCAGATGTGTGGAAAGCAGAATAGATCTTGGTTTAATCAGATGTGTGGAAAGCAGAACAGAGATATGGGGTCCAATAGAGCCCAGATCACTCCAAAAAAGAGAACCATAGTTCTAGCACCAGACCACCTGTGCAACTCTATACTGGTAACTTGTAAGTGTTTATAAAGAGTCATCTATGGATAATTAACATACTGTAGTCTGTCGCCATTCTAAAGATGTGTGGAATTTTAAAGCGTGACATGTTTCGTATCTATCTACACGGTGTAACATCTTTTTATATTTACCAAAAATTGAGTATTGTATTGTGTTTCTGTTCACTAAAATTCATTAATGTGTATTTTTCCTCCAAAATTTACTTTGAAAAACTACTGCACAAATACCATGTGACATAAAAAAAATTGCAACACCCACCATTTTAGTATCTAGGGCCTTTTTTTAAAAACTATATATATAATTTTGGGGGTACCTAAGCTATTTTCTAGCAAAAAAAAGCAGATAGTTACATGTATGAGAGAAATGTAAATTGGTCAGAATAGAAAGGGGGAATCCTCCCTAAAGGTGGCATAGACAACAATAAATATCTGACAGGTGTTCTAAACCCTCTCCACTTAAAGTTTTGCCTGTAGTTGTACATTAACCATAATTAAGAAAATACACTGTACATTCTATTTATGTGGATCTTTGATTCACACCTCTCTGCATTATGACAAAGTGGTGTCTATTCATATATTTTACAGTCCCCTAAAAACGACCGTGAACCTGAAACCATGAAAATGGTTGCATTTTTTAAAAAAAATTTTATAAACAAGTGATTTTTTATTTTTTTTTATTTTTTTTTGCACTTTGTACAAAATGCATTGTCAAAATGAACAAACATCAAATGAAGAGACACAATTAAAGAGAAAATAAAATAAAGTGCTATAGAACATACAGTGAAAAAACCATTGTCTCTAAGATCGTGCACATTTTAGATACAAGATTCAGTAAGCTAGGACAGTTATCCCACAACAAATAACTCCTATTTATCACGCTAATATAGTCTATGCTATTAGATGCAGTACAGCCATTACAGATTTAGTAAACTTTTTTTAACATATTTAATAGACAAATTTCAGATCTTGATTCAAAAAGTGCCTACAATTAAAAGTAATATGTGGACAGCACAGTGGCTAAATGGTTAGCACTTCTGCCTAGCAGTATTAGGGTCATTGGTTCGAATCCCAACCATGGCACCACCTGCCTGGAGTTTGCATGTTCTCCCTGTGCCTGCGTGGGTTCCCCCCACACACCAAAGACATGTTGGTAGGTTAATTGGATCCTGTCTAAATTGGCCTTAGTATGTGTATGTATGAATGTAAGTTAGGGACCTTAGATTGTACGCCCCTTGAGGGTTAGGGACTGATGTGAATGTACAATATATATGTAAAGCGCTCTGTAAATTGACAGCGCTATATAAGTACCTGAATTAAATATAAATAAATAATAAAATTTAATAAATGACATGGAAAATTAACATGGTGAATTCATTTTCACTGTCTAGAGTAACAAAAATGCACATCTGTCATAAGGAAAAAGTAAGTACGCCCCTACATCCATCTCCACTTCTAATACATGAAATTAGAATTTGATGTTCCAGATTAAGCAACAATGATTAAAACCACCTTATAGGGAATATGCAGGTGGAACCCATTTTAATTAACCTTTACACATCTAGGGTCTGGTGTTCTTTGCTGTGTATGACTTTATCATGTTCAATAGAACTCTCTAAGCCCCCAGAAAGAAAGCTGTAAATGCCTATAAGCCTGTCAAAAGATTTATAAACATTGCCAGATGAGTAGAAATCAGCCACTCCTCTGTAAAGGAAATAATCTCAATGGCATAGTTTTCAAACAATTGCTAATTTGTTCAGGATGGTCAGCCCAAAAATTTCAACCCAGGAACTGACCTTTCAGTGCTAAACGAAGTCTCCAAGAAGCCTTAAATTACATCATGGGGTGTTCAGGTAACTCTTGCAACAGTTGGGGTCAAAGTGCATCCATTTACACTCAGAAATAGATTGGAATTCAACTTGCTTGAGAGGTGTGTTGAGTAAAAGCTCTGCTGTTCAAAAAGAACACTTAGAGCAAGGTTATAATTTGCCACCAAACATAAGCAAAGACCGTGCCTTCTGTAACATTCTAGTGAAGACTGATCAATCAACAACAGAGTTGTTTGATAACAGTATATTTGCAGCAAACCTATTTCAGGTGAAGGACCTCAAAACAACTGTGAAGCATGGTGGTGGAATGTATGGATTGGAATTGTTTTACTGTATAGGTAAAAGACACACAGTGAGCGTTCTCAAAGAAACAGCAGCTGAACATCCAGGATAAACGCATATAAAAATCCTCAGTAAAACATATACATGTAAAATGCAGTGCTGTAAAATGATCAAATCATGCAAATCAACACAATAATAGTCCTGAAAAGGTGCTCATTACCTCCACATGGCACCGGCGGCGTAGTGTTAACAATGTCCACAGGCTCCCTATGACGCGTTTCGTGCGCACGCACTTCCTCTGAGGTAGAGCAAGGACCTAGCCCGGGTTCCATTGAAGAGGAATATCCTTTCCTGGGAGCTTCCTGGCCTGCAGGATTTCGCTTTTCCACAAGAGGGCGTTATCATCATCCATTTCAGCACATATCCATTTTCTGACCAGAGGGAGAGAGGGGAATCTCCAGGATTTCTTACACACATGCATACTTTAAATGCGCTTCTGGTTAGTTTGCATTCTTTCCATTGACACTGGGAATTAATGATCACCTTTTCAGGACTATTATTGTGTTGATTTGCATGATTTGATCATTTTACAGCGCTGCATTTTATATGTATATGGAATTGTTTTACTGCTTTAAGGCCTGGGCAGCCCAAATTCATCAGGTCATTTATACCTTCTGCATCTTGTGTGCTTGATGAGAATGTGAGACCATCTGTCCAAAAAGTGAAGTTATACCAGAGATGGTTAATGACCAAAGCTCACTATCAATTCCTTCATGGGAAGGATCAAAATGATATAGAAAATTATACACTGCCCTTGTCCAAGCCCTGATTTGATTTCGATTGAAATGTAAGGAGATTTTGAAACAACAGTTTATCCATGGGAGCACCTAGATATCTTAAAACTGAAGACATTTTGCATGTAGAAGGGCATAAGAAAGAGACAATGTTAGACTGGTGGGCAGTCATACATAATATTTACAAGAAGTCATTTCTGTTTCTGCTACATGCAGCATTTCCAACCTTTATTGCCAATGGCATACTTACTTTTTCCACAGTAAACCATTACATCTATTGATCATTTTTTTAAAGAAATAAATGAAAAGACAAAATCTTCTAGTTTAGATTCACTATTATGTGTCACTTTTATCTGCAGGTAATGTTTGCATAAAAATCCAATGTTTTCCTGTTTTAAATATGTTGAAAAATGACACAATTTCCATGGGGTATACCTAATATTTTACATGACGGTGTATGTATTATTTGTACTTAGTGTGTTAACTTGCCTGGGCTTCCATTTCAATAGTAAACTATAAACTGAAGGTGTCTGCCATCTCCTGGCCAGTACAAACTCTGCTCTATATTTATAAACATGCAGCAATAGGATGCAGCAGACTAATTAGTACCAGTTCCATAGGAATTCAATAGGAAGTTTCAGACCCAAGTCAGAAGACTGGGGCATATTTATTGAGTGTCAAATGATGATTGCAATATTTCACTTATATATATATATATATATATATATATATATATATATGTCAATGGTTTTCATACCTCTCAAAGGTTTGTGACATTTTGGCATTGATATATTGAAAATATGACTGAACATGCCGAAAGCTGTCTCTTTTATGTAAGGATAGTGATCATATGAAGCCATTTATTATCACATAATTGTTTTGGCTCCTTTTTAATTTATAATAATAGCAGAAACCACCCAAATATCCTTGCTCAAAATATGCACAAGGTGACACACACAGGTTAAAATGGCAATTAAAGGTTAATTTCCCACATCTGTGACTTTTTTAAAATTGCAATTGGTGTCTGTGTATGAATAGTTAGTGAGTTTGTTAGCTCTCATGTGAATGCACTGAGCAGGCTAGATACTGAGCCATGCTAAGCACAACGGAACTGTCAAAACACCTGCATAACAAGGTAATGGAGCTTTATAAAGCTGAAAAAGGCTATAAAAAGATATCCAAAGCCTTGAAAATGCCAGTCAATACTGTTCAATCACTTTATTAAGAAATTGGAAGGTTTGGGGCATCTCTTGATACCAAGCCAAGGTCAGGTAGACTAAGAAAGGTTGCAGCCACAACTGCAAGAAGTATTGTTTGGGATACAAAGAAAACCCCACAGGTAACCTCAGGAGAAATACAGGCTGCTCTGGAAAAATGCTGTGCATTTTTTTAAAGTAGCACAATACTACGATACTTGAACAAAAATGAGCTGCATGATTGAGGTGCCAGAAAGCAGCCTTTACTGTGCCAATGCCACAAAAAAGCCCGGTGGGGCATGTCAATGTGTTGTCGGGCATATTTTAATCACACTTTTTTGTTGCATTGGCGCAGTAAAGGCTTTTTTCTGGCACCTCGGCCTGCAGCTCATTTTTGAGCATCTTCTCAACATTCAAATTTCAAAAAGAATAGAATAAAATAATAGAAAAGAACAGAGAAAAAAACAGAACAGAATAGAAAATAGAATAGAAAAAATTTGAATATAACCATCTTTCGAAATTCGAATTTTGAATAGAATTTGGATCAATTTGATATTTTCAGTTCAAATTTGTTTCAAATCCAATTCAAATACTTTGAATCCATTGGAAAAAATTTTAATACAGTCGAAAATGAATAAACAAAACCGAGTCTAAACAAAACCAATTTCGTTACAAATCAACAAAACAAAATTAGTAGCTTAATGAATCGATACAAAACAAAGTTCTTCATTCTGCACATGTCTAGTTGCTGCTGCAGTGATCGCCTCTGGCTTGCTCAATGAATGCAAAGCGTTTGCAGATTGGAAGAGGTGGAGATTGACATCACTGGCAGCTCCTCTCCACCTCGTCCATTCGGAGAAGGTATTGCATTCACTGAGAAAAGTGTTATCTGAATAAGACCTGGAAGCTAGCAGTGATCACTGCAATAGCAGAACTAATAGTGATTTCCATATGGAAGCTATATCTAAACTTTGGCTTTCATGGAGCCACCAAATCTGGTAAGCTGCAATATATTACATTTCTGTTCTTGGTTTGGATATCCTTTAACATTTTACCTCTTTAAATTAAGAGTTTAATTGAGTAAAGATGATCTTAAACTTTCATTAGATTGTTTTGTCAATGTATAGTTGTATTTTATCTCATTACTTTACTTCCTTTATTGTTCTGCCAGAACGTATATGCTATTTGATGACACAGCTCTGATTTTAAAAATGACGTTCTCTTTTGTTTTTTGGGGGCTTTTTTCAGCTGGATTGCCTTTTATAATCACAGGAGAGCTCTTCAAGCAATCTCATCGTCCAGCAGCATTCATTGTCGGAGGAACTTTGAATTGGTTTTCCAACTTTACAGTTGGTTTTGTGTTCCCCTTCCTTCAGGTATTGTAATTGTCATCTGTGAGACTTCACGGTGTTGGGTAAAGTTGTAATCATATTTCATGCTGGTGGCTTATATCAGAGCACTGAAGAAATGTACTTCTCATGCCACAATTTTCTTGCTGCTGTACATCACACTATAGACTTTATATATTATGTATCATAAGTATATATGACTGTTTTATACAACAGCAAACATGACATGTGGGGTATTGAGTAATTTTGCTGTAAATCAGGTGCTCAGCATAAATAGAGCCTATTTGCTACCACCAGCCAACATGTAAATATTAATGGTGCCTTGACTGTTTTTTATCAACATAGTCAAGAAAAGAAAAAATGACTTTTTAAGCACCAAAACTACAAAAAGAAAAAAGATCTTTATATAAAAAATACAAATGTATTGAACATAATACATCCAATGAGAAAACAGACACAATACACAAAACATAATTTTGATGTGGATGGCGATGATTAGGCTATATATCACCAAAGAGAAAAACTCCAACGCATTTCAATTTATTGAATTTATAATTTGAATCTTCTTCAGGCGGAAAGCTGAGATGCCATAAACCGTATTCTAGAAAATTAATAAAGTAATCCAGTAAAGAGAAAATAAAAACACACACCATATGAAGAGTGACTCGCATTGCCATTCATAAAAAAACAGAAATTCATAGGATCCTTTCTAGTTAATTCCAGGCATCGTCTATGCAAACAGACCCCTCAGTGGTCCAAGTGAGTGAATGAATGCTAAACATGATCATAAAAACCATAGATTAGATATATTAAGTCTATTGGCATTCTATGTAATATATGTGAGAAAAAAGAAAAGGAACTCGCATAACATTGTCTAATGGAGGTCAATAGGGAATTGAAAATAGTAGGCAAAAATATAAAAAAAACAGCCTTGTCCTAGATGAAATCTATAATCCACTTAAAGTATACAGATAGATGAGTCAATAAAGGCAATAAATATACCTGGACTAGATCACTGATGAGCTTTCCCTGTATGAAGTATCAAAGTATGGAACCAACAAAATGTTTCCACAAATGGTCTCTAAAAGGTATACAAAAAATAAGATACTAAATGTAGCTACTCATAAAGATCAAACAAGCTAATAGTCACAGATGGTATACCTCTATCTTATACCAAGATGGAAACAGCCCAGAGAGCTGCCACAGTTACAGCTCCCACATGCAAAAAGTGAACTGGGACTAAACTGCTTATATAGCAGTTCGAGATCTGAACTGAAAAAGCACACCAGTTTCTCATTAGGTAATCAAACACTTAGTCAATGGGAGAAATTGTCTACCCTCACTAAAGATGTCTGCCACCAACATCCGAGCTGGCATAACATCACTTCCGATGCATGTGCCGTGTCAGAACGTCATTTCTGGTCCGGCATGATCAGCGCTGACGTGTGTGTGTCTCAGTGTTGCAAAGCAACATATCTCCGATGGAAAGTGAGACAAGGAAACAAACGCTCAACCCAAGCAAAGGAGAGACGGGACCAAAAAGAACCCCCATTCCACGAGTGATTGTGTATGGGGGCCACACGTGACGGACACAAGGCGATGCCATAAGGAAGACCAGTAAGGATAACATCAAAAAAACACACACCATATGAAAAGTGACTCATATCTCCATTCATAAAAACAGAAATTAAAAACAAAAATAAAGGAAATTTTAATAACTGAAGCAATATACAGACAATAATGTAAAAAATGCAATATAAACGTTCTCAAAAGAGATAATAAGGTGACACAGCAAAAGGGAGATAAAGGGAAAAGAATTTCCCATTATCTTCCAATACAGGGCCGGTCACAGACAAACCACAAATTATCCATAATTTAAACAGAAGAATACAGAAAATAATATAAATATAGAAATCAATTCCATTTTATATAAAACCAAGACACACAATCCAGGGCTCCATAATTACAAATCATGTTCCTTTTTGCCAGAAACAAAGCCTTCCAGAATGGTTTAAAGCTTATTTTTTCATTTAATAACAGAAATACATTAGATTTTAAAGGATGAATCCATTTCACTTGTTTTTGTAAAAGAATCTTATTGATATCACCCCCTCTGTTATTAAAGAATACCCTTTCCAGGGCCCAAAATTTTAGGTCTTGCATTCTATAACCATGTGATTTGACAATATGTCTACCGAATATATATTGCAACTTGATGCAGCATGTGTATGTTCATATATCCTATGCCAGAATTCACGCATTGTCTTGCCCACATAGAAGGCTCCACAGGGGCAAGACCTAATATAGACAACCCCCCTTGTGAGGCAGTCAACAGACTGTCTCGGATGGAAAGTCTTATCATTGGTTGATGCTGAATATAATAAAGCCCTTATGTTTGGACGTATTCTCTTTGTTGCCTTCACAATGAAATGCTCATCAATAAATATCAACATGCCGATCAATAAATATTAACAATGTATAGCCAGTGCTGCAAACACCCTGATTACACACTATTGGTGTTCAACATATACACGTAAGTGTGTAATCAGTGGCAAAGGCACCGTTGGGTACACATTGTTGATACTGACATGTTAGCTTTGACAAGTGGAAATTTTAGAGCCCCAGATAGAGCAATATTACACTGCCAATGTGCAGCTTTGCGAATTGGCCCATAGATTTCCATACTGCTGAGTTCAGATGCAGCACTGTTAACGCCCATTTGAATGAGTAGTTATACCTGCCTAGAGTTCGGCTTTAGGATTCCCAGCTCTTAACTCCTAATAGAAAATGTTCACAACTAAAAGGATTTGCAAGTTTGGCTTTAGGATTCCCAGCTCTTAACTCCCAATAAAAATGTGCACATCTAAAAAGATTTGCAATCTCTCACACACAGGGGGATATATAAGATTCTACTGAAATCCAAATAAAACCAGATAAATTCAAGATGTGATCCTTCCAAGTTCTTGGTTTCTGTATATCTCCCATCACATTTTCGCACTCTATGTGGCTCTGGATAGACTTCCAGTATTTGTTTCTATGAAAGCAGCAGCACATATACTTAACAAAGAAGTCCTAAACTACTTTTGTTTGTCTTCTAGAGCTCAGCGGGAGCCTTCTGCTACCTGGTATTTTGTGGGGTCTGTGTATTTGTAGCACTTTATGTTTATTTTGTGATCCCGGAAACAAAGAATAAAACCTTTGTAGAAATTAGTGAAATGTTCTCCTCTGGAAAATCCCTATCTACACCCGTTGCAGCTGTAGACAACATGAAACTGAAGAAGATGAATGGGTATGGAGCTTTAGAAAGCAGCTCTCTGGAATTTTAATTATCCTGAAAAGAGACTGAACTATAGACTTGATTGGAAGACAGTCAAACTCGCACCAAATGTGGCCTCTACAAAATGAGAAAAAATTGGAAATATCAGTATTTTTTATGATTAACAAGTATCCGTCTTGGGCTTCTGATAAGAAATATGGCAATTGTTGTATATAAATACCTAATACTCTGAAATGTTGTTAAAAATAAATCATGTTGTCCATAACACTGGTAACATTTTAAGTTAACTTTTTATTAGCAAATGTGTGTCCATTACTGGATAGGGTCATTTTTAAATTTGGAAAGGCTGATTGTCATGATTTTGAGTAATGTTTCTTGTAAGACATTAATTTTCCATTTTCTGTATGTAAGAGGTATGAAATACATGTTATATCTGAGGCAATTATTATAGCAAAATTGAACAAAATGGGGAAGAGTGGTCAGGAAAACCCTGATCATATGAAATTGTTAGATATTCTGTACATAGTCCTACAGAACAGACAGTGCTCACTGCACATGTGTATATCTGCTGCTTCTCTGCTAACCGAAAACAAGAACTTTTATTATAGAGCGAAGACGTGAACTCAGCTACACACTTTTAAACACTGCCATCAATTGGTTGAAGAATTTATCTCTACTGAACACTGAAGTACTTGTTGCAAAATACATAAACAATGTATTCGAATGCCCCACTCAACAACTACTCCTTATATTAGTCTCATTTCGGATCTCAGTTCTAGAACTCTATAGTGTCTGTCTGCAGTTCACTAAGAGATGTAATCTCTTCATCAGCAGCTCTGGTCCACTTTTGTTTCTCATGGGTTGAAAGTCTTTGCATTTCATATCATGGAACTGGCTCTGGTTTTATTGCTACATAAAGCAATATACAGTAAGTCACACATTTGGCTGGGATGCCTTTATTGTTTCTGGTGGATTTTCTGATTGAAGCCTCTTGTGGTCTGGTTTTATCTCTTACAGTATTTGGATTGTCTATGTAATTTCTTTTTCTGTGTCACTTTGTTGCTTATCTTCATGTGACACCGATGTTGTATTTCCCTCAGTTTGAAGCTTTTGTGTTCAGGAAATTTTGAACAAACTGAGGTTTTATTGACAACTACACTTTGACTGATGGTTACTTTGCTTGTGTCTTGGAATAGATGCCATTCTGTATCCCTTTTGAGATTCACAGTACCACACATCTTCCTTTGCGCATGCATGCCATTTTGTACATTTTTCTTTTGGGATGTGCACGTAGGCTTTGCTTCCAAAAATGTTTAGATGGTTCAAATTTGGGGCTTTTCCATTTCACAGTTCATATGGAGTCTTCTCAGTTGATTTTCCTGGTAGTCGATTTTTTTATGTGGTCATAATTGTTTCCCCTCACCAGTTTATGGTTGGCATATCTGCATCAAACGGCATGATTCCTCCATTCTTACATAGAGTACGGTTTATTCTTTCTGATACCCTGTTTTGTTCTGGGCTGTAGGGTACAGTAGTTGAAATATTATGCCATGCTTTCTGAGAATCACCTTTGTGTTATCACCTGTATATTCAGTTCCATTGTCTGTGCACAATACACTCGGCATTTTGCCAAAGTTATTGCTAACTTGAGCCAAATACAGCTCAAGTTCTCTCGTACTTCACATTTGTTGTGTAACAGATATAGTGTAGTATATCTGGCGTAATCATAAAATTTAGAAAATTTCCTGGGGTCAATTTTTCCATTGAACTACAATCTGAATGAATTAAGTCCAGAGTTGTTTTTTAGCTCTTGTGTAAGTTTGGAAAGGCTTTCCTCGTCATTTTCCTTTTACATAGCTGGTGCATTTCATTATTTGATTACATGGACTAATTTTATTCCACTTGCATAGTCATTCTCAGTGTGAATGCAGTTTGAATGTTTTTCCTCCTTGGCTCATTGCACTTCAGCTGATACAGTTCATCTGTAATTTTAGCCTTTGCAAGTAAGATATCCCTTTTTGTGATGACACAACTGTCACCTTGGAAGGTCACTACATTTGCATTTTTGTGTGATCTTCACTGACAAAAGATTAGTTTCAAGAGAAGGGACATACAAGGACATTTTTCACAGGTATCTTTCTGGAGACATTCTGGGAAATAGGACAGTAAAGAAAACCATCTCCTATTCCTTCTGATTCTATTATTTGCACATTAGCTGTGGTGATTTCTTCTGTTTTACTCAGGTCGAGGTGAATAAAAAAAGTTTTGTAATTTTTGTCTTGTGATTTGTAGCTCCTGAATCACCACACCATGGGGTTTATTTACTAAAACTAGAATGTCCAAAATCAAGTGCAGCCATGCATAGAAACCAATCAGCTTCCAGGTTTTTTCTTTTTTTTTGGGTCAAAGCTTAATTGAATGAGCTGAAGTTAGAAACTGAATGGCTACCATGCACAGCTGCACCAGGTTTTGCACTCTCCAGTTTTAGTAAATCAACCACCATGCCTTTAAATATGAGGTGCAACTTTTGGACTGAAAAACCTTATCTGAAGAAAGATCAGTTTCTTCCTTCACACTTTTAGCCTTTTGTAGTTCAGTTTGTTTTTGCATTGTAGCTTTCCAGATTCTGCAATCCTGCTTTTAAATGGCCTTGTTTCTTGCACACAAAGCATTCCTGTGTTTCTTGTTGCATGTTATTGTTTTTATTCCTAATTTTCACAGTTAAAACAGACTTTGCAATGAAAGCACCGTCACTAATAATGCTTTCTGTTTTATGCTTATATTCATCCGTAAACTTGCCCTTAACATATTTCAATGTCGGTTCATCATTTGGATGTGCATCAAGTGCTGTGACAAGCATTGTATAACTTTCTGGTAAACCACTAAGTAATGGTCTGCAACATGAAAATATTTTATTCTTCTATACTTCTCAGATGTTTAACCATTTCCAAGGTGTGCCCCATATAATCCTGTATATCCTGGCCTTTAAGCAGTTTGGTTTGGTATAGCTTTCTATTCAAATACATTTAATTACTGAGATTAGCTCTTGCATGTACCTTCTGTAATCCTTATCACATTTCTTGACCAAATCATACATACAGTATATGTATGTGTGAAACTGCTAAACCTCTATACTTAGAGAGATTGTGCTCAGAGCTTTCTGCTCTTTCTCTATCCATACATCTGAAGGGTGTTCTGGCCTGAGTTCATTTATACATTTCCACGTACCTTCTCTTATTAACAGCATTTTTCATCTTGATTTTTCAAATCTGGTAGTTATGGATTGTCAGTGTTTGCAAATGAAAACTTTCTTGCACGTGTGTCACTATCCATTTTCTTTTATACTTTTGCAATCTTCTTCCTGTTGCTGTGTCTTACACTTATTTTGCTGTAGCAGGCTATGACTGGGTATGTTGGCAGATGTCTGGGCCCGTAACCTGTTAGAGATTCTGTATATAGCCCTGCAGAACAGACAGTGCACAGTCCACATGTGTTTATCTGTTGCTTCTCTGCAAACAGGGACTTTATTATAGAGAAAAGACATATAGTGGCAGCACAGTGGCTAAATGGTTAGCACTTCTGCCTGGCAGTACTAGGGTCATCGGTTTGATTCCCAACCACGGCAACACCTGCCTGGAGTTTGCATGTTCTCCATGTGCCTGCGTGGGTTTCCTCCGGGTACTCCGGTTTCTTCCCACACTCCAAAGACATGCTGGTAGGTGAATTGGCTCCTGTCTAAATCATCCCTAGTATGTGTATGTATGAATGTGAGTTAGGGACCTTAGATTGTACACCCCTTGAGGATTAGGGACTGATGTGAATGTACAATATATATGTAAAGCGCTGCGTAAATTGACCGCGCTATAGAAGTACCTGAAATAAATAAAAGTAAATATAGTCATAGATGCAGCTACAAACTTATAAGCACTGCCATCTACTGGTTGAAGAATCTACCTCTCCTGAACAGTGAAGTAATTACTGCAAAACCATGTATTCCAACAGAAATGAAATATCACAATAAAGTCCTCCGTAAAGGCAGCTTCTGGGGAATAGTGGCGTTTCACCCCTCTATTTCTCCTGGTGACCATTGTCACTGAGACAAATTAAGCAGAAATCCCAAACATTTTGAGTTTTCAATAAAGCAAAAAATTAGAAGTCCCGCCACCTACAGCTATCTAAGATGGGAATACAATTCACTTTGGCAAGATTTCTTTTCATTCTGTAAATGGAAATCTCCCCAGCAGAAAATAATATTCTGATAGGTGTTAACTCTTCCCTAATAAAACCATAGAAATGTTCTGACACTACAAACACCTTAATAGGAAATACAGCAATCACATTTTCCCCTATCAATTATGTGACTTAAAGGAAAATGACTGGCGGGGAAGTGTGCTCCCATAATACCGTTTATTTAAAAAGTTGACTAAGGGCTCATTCACGTGGGCTTTTAGCCCCATACAACATGAATAGCCCTTTTGTTTAAATTTTGTCAAAGCACTGAGTTGTACGCAGGCAGCCCATATTAGTGAATAGTCTGCAGCTGTATAAACTCACCTGCACATTCAAGCTTGACAGGTATGCAGGGATGGGTAAGCAGACCTGGATGTGAAGGCTCTGCGGCATGGTCCATATGCCCTTCCCTGAGTACCTATCAAGCCCAGCTATGCAGGTGAGGCTGTACAGCCAATGGGTATTTTTTCACCAACATGGGCTGCCTGGAAGCAGCTTGGCGCTTGGACAGAAAAGTTAAAAAATGGGCTCTTCACTCTGTACAGGGCTGACCACCCCATAGCTCTAATAGTGACTATGGAGCACTCTGTGACCTTCTCAGCAGAGGGCATAAAGTGATCAACAAGGAAGGCATGCTTTTCATACATAGGGGTTTACAAAGCAGGAACATGATTCCATCTCAGATCCACCAGTTTGTTCAGTGTATAATGGCATGTCAATCCATGTGGTGTGCAATGTTCTTATAAGTACATATTACAAGGCTAAATTATTATTATTATACAGGATTTATTTAGGGCCAATAGTTTGCTCAGCGCTTTA